AAATTTGCACTCGCATAGCTGAAGCTAATATTACTAGCACCTTTCATTCCTCTTTTGTGTGTAATTTTAAAGGATTTTGACTAATCATATAAGAAATTTATAACAAAATAGTCAGTGGCAAATTTTAAGCCACAACAGACCTTTTAAAATTTGGCAAAAAAGTTTTAAGTTTAATTTCATGAATAATGTTCATGACTTCTAATGCCGTCTACTATGAATATCTTCTACAAATATTTGTTGTGATGCTAATTGGAAGTAACTAGTTTCTTTTCACAACTGCTTAACAGAATATTTTATGAAAATGTCTGCAGTTTACATTTTAATGAATTTGGGATTAATCTAAAAATTGGCATTCACATTTATTTGGAAGTCTATACATAAGCCTATATATATGCCATGTAAGAAACACCCCCAAAAAAGAAAACATATTTTTCTACTCACTATTTTCATAAGAAATAGTTTCCAGATAATGTCTTGCATAGCCTCTCAGAATTAAATTATTGTAAAGATGTAGTCTTTTCACTGTGAACCTCTCTAGCAGTTAAACATTTTATAGTAACAAAAATTATGAAAAGTTATTTTAGATGATAAATCAAACCTTGCTGAATCTACATAATTCATTAAAGATAATGCTATTTATTTATACAATTTATATCTAAAGTTGTAGTCCTAAACAAATTATTAAACATTAATATTGCAAAAACTTGTGTGAAAGCTATAACAGAACTGACTGTATAAATGTAAAATCGGCCATATAAGGTTTGTTTTTTCCCTCCTCACAAAATTTCTTGTATATTATAAAATACTTCTTTCGGTCACAATTTATGAATAACAAACCTATAGATTGCAAACATTAAACAAACATTTTTTATCCATTCACAAAGTTGCCAATGTGTTGGTAATTTTCACATGAGTGTGGATAATCAGAAAGTACCCAGCATCTTTAAGCAGACAGATCCCTGATTGCCACAAGAATGTCCTCACATAAAGGTATGGCATGTCAGAAAAAGGAGGAAGGACCATTCTCCAACTCCTGTTGCAATGGCCAATCAGAGAAATTCAACTTGTATTTTTTATGTCTCAAAAGTGTGATTTAGAATAAACATTTGAACCCAGATATAAAAACCAGTTTATAATGAACAGACCTTTAGGTCCCCATCCAGTTTACCACACATTTAATATTATTTTATACTATTACAGCAAATCTCCAAAAGTATGACAAACTATTGGATATCGATTGAAACTTCTGTTGTTTTGCATTTTTCAGAATTTCTACAGGTTTTAACAACTCCCTCAACCAAAAAAAAAAAAAAAAAAAAAAAAAAAAATTTAACCATTAAATTCATCCACATTTAGAATGTTAGAATCCACATTCCATCCATAAAGAAAACACCTTTATGCTACTATCTTTTATCTTTACCCTCGTTTTTCCAAACAAAGGCTATGCGAGACAGATAAGAAACATAACTCTTAAGAGAACAAGAATACAATAATCTTATCTTAGGACACCATATGTTGCACGTAACTGATGGGGAAAAAAAAAAAAAAAAAAAAAAAAAAAGAATAGGTTTTCTGATCGAGCAGCTAGACAGAGCTCTATTTAAAGCTGATCCTAAGTTTTGAAATTAATACTACTATACCTGTTTCATCTTCCAAGTTTGTTTTTGTTTAAGAAGAAAGCTGAGCTTCCAAATAGGGGTTTTACATTTTTTAGGCCTTTAGCAAAACATAAAACTTTTTTCATAAATGTTATTGAATCTTTGTGCTGCAAACATTCACATTATGCGGAAATGATAATGTTCACACTAGACAGTGGATGAAACATGTAGATGATGAAATTACCTTTCTTTTCTATGTTTTTCAGAAGGGTTTACTCTTACATATCCTTTGACCAAATCCGGCATTCTCTCTGCACTCTATTTCTGAGCAAAAAATTCATTTGGTTCCTAAACTGTGAATTCGAACCTTCTGCATTGAGGATAAGGGGAACATTATTCAAAAATTACAAAATGGATGCAGACAAAATTAATATCTGCCAGAAATACAATTTATCCAAATTTACAATTGGTACCATATGAAAAAATCAAAACTCTAATTTCTGCTCATTTAATTATTTAGGTATACAGAAAAAGTTGTGAAAGATGGACTACAGTGATGGGGAAGAAACACTGCAGAAATAGTTCGCCATTCAAAGAAGCAGTGATCTGCCAATATCTGGACAAATACTCATGACAGTAGCCAATAAATTTGCCAGAACTTTGGAGTGAATGTAACAGAAAAAAAAAAAAAAAAAAAAAAAAAACAACAACAAATTTAATAACTACATATAATAATAATTGCAATTAAATCTTAATATAATTATTTTAAAGTTAAATTTGTCCTTTACTTCTTTTGGTAGATACGACAATGTTAATGATCCATTTTTCTTATCATATCAGATACAATGAAGCGAACTTTTGGTGCTTTGAAGTTCATTATATCAAGGTTCAACTGTATAAATTTCTTATCAATCTAATTCTTCAAATATGGCACTGTTTTACATATATATTCTGACATAAAATCAAAGTTTTTCTGGGGGGGGGAACTGCTAATTTTTTTCCTTTATAGTTTGATTGTACATTTAGGCATAAATATCAATTTTTGTAAAAATAATACAAGCTATTTTGAATTTTTTATATTTAAAATTTGGCAGAAATCTTCATCCTGGTGTTTCAAAAAATTCACTTGCTGAACTTCCAACTGATGTCAATCTTTACTTTTTTTTTTCAATCTGTTCCGTGAACAATTTGGTTCTTCTTTTGATCTCATCCAAGAACTATTTTGTGCTTCCAAATTGGTGTCTATCAGTGTTTTTCAGAAGTTTAAAACTCAAGCTATTAATTCTCTATTTTAAAAATAAAATTTTTCTCATATTCAGAAAGGACTAAAATAATTTTAAACCACATATCTTAAAATAGTTAAAATGTCAGAAATATATTCGGAGGATTTAAAAAAAAAAAAAAAAAAAAAAAAAAGAAGAAGAAGAAGAAGAAGAGAAGAAGAAGAAGAAGAAGAAGTTATTTTAAAATTTCATTCATTTGCAAATAAAATTTAATACTGGGATCATCAACCATACGAAAGATTAATATCAGTAAAAGGGAAAAAGCAAATTTTAAATAAGTCAGAATAGTTACCAGTTAATTAGAATGGTTATCAATTTTTTTTAAGTTATGTTTAGAATGCCTGTCAATTAATAATTATCTGCATAGCCCTTATTTATGTATTATTTTGAAAAATGCAAAAATTAACATATAATAAAAGCTGCCAGCAAATATGCATATATATCACTATTAAAATCCCCCAAAGACAGCCACTGGTGTATCTCAGAAAATAATTAAAAAGAAATTTACTTACATTATGAAAACTTCAGATTATTAATTCTAAAAACAATCAAATATTAGAAAATTTTTTTATTTAAAAATACTATTAAAACTCATATAAATACTTCATTTCTCTTATCAGGTATAAACAAAATCTATACCTTTCATAAAATTAAATCTTTACCGTATATGAATGAAATAAAAAAAAACTAAAAAAAGAATACAATTTCAAAAGTTTCTCTGTCCATTTATGCATGTTAGAATGGGATCATTCAGTATCTCTTTTCTAGAACACAATACAGTGAACAGAAGAACATCAAAATATTAGAAAAATATATGTTACAGTTTGAACAAAATTAATAATACCAGTATGAAAAAAAGAGCTTAAAATGTACATATTGTCATAAAATTTTATTGTTGCCTTCAGACTTAATTTGGGATGTAGATGCTAGTATAAGAATTACAATTAAAAATTTCGCACTCGATAAACAAAAATTTTTACACACAGCATTAGAAATAATTATTTAAGGCATTAAAAGATATTAAATTTCTTATCCTTTTAGAGATACATGTTGCAAAATGATATTCAGGTAAATAACATATCAATTAGTTTTTAAATGGTTCACTTTCTTACACTGATAAGTACTTATTTTTAATCTAAAAAAATCTGGGCCAGAGCCCCCACCAGCAAATTCAAGAAAAGAGATTTTGTGAGAATATTCAAGGAAAAAATTAAACTTAAAATGCACCTACTGCTTAAATTTTTCTTTTATTTTTTTATGTATAATAAAGCACATACGGAATTTTCAGTCATGCAAGACTTACAAGCTATTTTGTGGTATGGTCAATATATTTTTGTTTATTTGGGTTAAAGAATGTGCCAGGATTAATTTAAAACACATTGTTTGTTCATTTTCACTTTTTTTTAATTATTATTCTTTTTTTTAATGTTCCCTGTGTCTTTATGCTCGATTGTTTCAGAACACAATTTACTACAAGAATAAACAAATAAAAAAATAAGGATGAAAAAAGGTTCAGAGCATTCTAGACTTAACAATTTTTTTTTCTTTCATTAGTCCTTGTTACGGAGCAGTGAGAGCTTTAGTAGCGGGAGGGGGGGCACCCTCGGGTTCACTGGGCAATGTCCCACTGCAATGGGCATCCCGAGTGACTGGCAGGTAGCATTTGGACCAGTGTCGCTGTATGGCGATTAGTGTCCATGTCTCTGCAGTGCAGAGAAGGGGGTTGAGCCTTCGGTTGCCGGCACCATAGCAAGGCGCGAACATGTATAAGAGAACTAGAACTAGTTACATCAAGTGTGCGACAGATAACCTGAACAAGTATTATTAAATTAAATAAAAGTACTTTATTATATTATTAAATTTGGAAAATTTTGTTAAGGCTATCTGGTAGAATAAAATAACAAATGGCAGCAACACTGCTGCCATGTTTCTAGGCTGTATTTATAATAAACACCTACTTCTAGACTCACCTACTTTAAAGCAAAAGTTGGATATATTTAGCTCAAAACAGGACTATTTTTGAAGAAATAGTTATAAATAAAATTTACTATATTCAAAATATTTTAATCTTGGAATAACAGAAATAGAACACATTATATATTTAGTATTAAAAAACTACCTGCAACAGCCTTACTCCTCTCAACCACTTCACGAGCAAGTGCACGGTTCAAAGATAGTAAGTGAGCCCTTTTTCGTTTTTCCTCACTTAGTTTTTTGTGCAAAGCTTCTGGGGATTTACTCCTCTCCTCAACAACATCTTCATACGTACTACAGATACAGGAATAAATAAACTTACAACACTATTAAAGAATGATGATTGTGTTCACACATCAATCAGATTCCATCATATCAATTCATAAGATATGAATGAAATAAATATTACAAGTAATGAGAATAGCAACTTCTAAATACATAGCTATACAGATAAATTCTGCAGTTAACATACAGTAACATACTTTATTTGAATATGATAAAAATGAACAAATTTTTCAAAGCAAATAATTGCCTAAACAATAGCTTACAGGATATCTAAATTTACTTGCTTACATGTACAGTACATAGTCTGAAATCTGAATGCCCAATATCCAGAATGATCTAAATTCCAGACCTCCAGACCACTAGCAACATTTTTATTTTTTAATTTTTTTAGTGTGCTTTACGCATGCACATTTGATATTGTTTCATACTAAAACATGTGGAGAGTCCCCAACCTTAATTTCACTTCAAGCACTAAATAAAATACCTACATAATGAAGAAACAATCTCTTACTAGCATAAATCTGTATGATCAATAATTTGGATCCATAGCTGCCTTGTTGTCTAGCATACACCTCAAACTGAAACATTCTACACTGAAACATCATTGATTTTACATCTACTGAATAATTTACATCTTTAGCATCAACCTAGCAAATAATTATTTATTATTATTTTACTTTCATCACAGCATCAGTATCAACACGTGGCAGATTTAGAAGACTTCGGTGCATGAAGGCACTTCAAACAGGCTTCTGGGTGATAGCCACATCCTGAACAGAAAGAATAGAAATCGGGCACAGCATTTTTGTAGCTAACATAATGAATATGGATGAGATGAGATACGGCCAAGCTAATCTCAAGAATGCCAGCTAAGTCATGTCTAGCTAAGTTACCTGTACAGGAGGATGTCAAACTCGCAGCCCGTGGGCCGCATGCGGCCCACAACAAATATTTTTGCAGCCCGGCCAATATATCGGCAAATAATAATATATAATAATAAAATAACATATCGACGAAGAAAAAAATGAAATGTTTACTGCTAAGTAATTAACGATAATTTATTCAGTGTTATTAGATTACTCACAGCGAGCTGACACACACACTACTTAAATTACAAATGCGTATGAGTAGCTTGCGTTCAGCTACCTTCGGCTTTTGGGGGACACGTGCACTCAGAACTTGTACGCATCCCCCCGATAGCCGAATGTGGCCGAACTCATGGTCTCAGTTTTCCAATCATAGTTTTGTATGATATATTGGTGCATGCATGTGCATGCACTTTGCTTTATTATTAATTATTACTTAATTCATATTGTTACGGATTTCATAGTTATTTATTTATTTAGAATTGTAATTAGATTTGCTTCATGTTGCCTTAGCAACGCAGACTATTTTTGGAAAGACAGCTGCGTTGGAAGGTTAAAAATAGAACAGCACGTACATTTAATACCTAATAAATAAATATCTCATAATTGCTGTTGCCATCACAAAAAATCCAGATATTTATAGATGTTTCCAGTATATTCGAGAAATTAATTATAAAGCTTATAAAAGCCAAGAACAAAACAACTCATCTCAGTAGTAGCTGTAGTTCTAGCGAACTGTTGTGTTTACTTAATGCTGTGATTGATTTGTAGCGATTTCGCTGTGAGATAGAATTAGTTTCTCTGTTTTGAATTGATTTTTGCTAAACGTTTGACATTTTGTGATATTGTTTAGAATATTTTTGAAGAAATATTTCAGCATTTTGATTTATCTCTTGTGGAAAGAATAAATTTTTGTTAACTTTTTAACATTAACCGTGTTTATTCCAGCCCTTTGTATTCAGTATGTCTATATCAAAACCAAGTGGTAGTAAAATTAAACGAAAAATCGCTGACGAACATAGAAATATTCCAAGTAAAATGGGAATTAGAAATATTTTTGCTGTGAAATAAAAGATAAAATAATCTGCTTGATATGTAATAATACTATTAATGTACCAAAGTTATATAATATTAAATGTCATTACGAACAACACAAATCGAAATATAACAATTACGAAGGATTAATGAGAGAAGAAAAGTTGAAAGAGCTCAAGTTAGGAGTGAAAAAGCAACAGTCCATGTTTAGTAAAGTATTGCAAGAAAGTGAAGTGGCGGTACATGCAAGCTACGTCTTGTCCGAGTTGATAGCTAAATATTCGAAGCCTTTTACTGACGGTGATTTCATCAAGGAATGCCTAATGAAAGCTGGAGAAATTGTTTGTCCTGGAAATGTGAAGACTTTTCAATCAATTTCATTGTCTCGAAATACAGTTGCGGAAAGAGTTACTGATTTAGCCGCGAATTTAAGTGATCAGATCAAAGCAAAATCATCTAGTTTCGAAAGTTCTCCATTGCCTGTGACGAGAGCACGGACACATTAGTGGCAAAGCTCAATTAGCAGTGGTTTTTCTTCGTTTTGTGACAAGAATTTTAACATTTTTGAGGAATTACTGGAACTAATACCGATGCCTGGTACTACCACAGGAGAAGATATATTTACTTGTGTTTTTGGACTTCTGCAGAAATACATACAATCTAATTTTGGCAAAATTAAATTCTGTAGCTACAGATGGTGCTCCATCAATGACCGGGAAAAACAAGGGCTTCGTAGCATTTCTAAGAAAAAAACTTAGTAAAATTCATGGTTCAAACATTCATCATATGCATTGTATTATACATCAAGAAGTTCTATGCACGAAAGTAATAAATATGGAGAATGTTTTGTCATATATATAAAAAAAGTTATAAATTTTATAAGATCTCGAGGTTTAAATCAGCGTCAATTCACTGCTTTCTTAAGTGAGTTAGATAGTGAATATTCAGGTTTGTCCTACTATACCGAGGTACATTGGTTATCTTGCTTCAAGATTCTCAAACAATTCTGGGATTTGAAAGAAGAAATATGTCAGTTTTTTAAAAACGAAAAATCAAGACGTAAGTTGTTTTTTACGATCCAATATGGATACAAGATTTATCTTTCTTGGTTGATATAACCAAACACTTAACCGATTTAAATTTTATCGTTACAAGGAAAAGATCATATCATTACGAACATGTTTGACATAATTAAAGCATTCAAATGTCAACTAGTTCTTTGGGAAAAACAACTTAAAAATGAAGATTTGACGCACTTCCCGTCGTGCAGCATGAACAAATCAAGTTTAGATGATACTTGTTGGTATCAAAAACGCAGAAAAATTGCAAATTTAACAACTGAATTTGAAACGAGGTTTAATGATTTTAGTTCCCTCGAAGACAAATTTTTTTTTGTTTTCTTCGATTTTCTCAATAAGTATTGACTCAATACCCAGCCATATGCAAATGGAGGTGATCGAGATTTCAATGCAACTCAAATTGAAAGCAAAATCATTGAAGTGGGCATGCCTGAATTTACAAATTTTTACCAGCCAGGTTTGAAAATACTCGAAAATTCGCATATGAAATTATTTCCATGTTTGGTAGCACTTATCGGTGCGAGCAGTTATTTTCAGTCATGAAAGATAATAAGTCTCCTACTAGAAACCGTATAATGATGCTCACCTTGGGTCAGCGTTTGAAAGTTATAACTGCAAACAAAATTTTTCCTGAAATAGGAAAGATAATAGCAGAGAAGAGATGTCAAGTATCAGGACGTAAACATTAAATTTTTCTTGTTCTTTTCTATATAAATATATATATGTTTATTATTGTATTATTCGAAATAAATGTACATTTCTATGAATATTGATTTTTTTTTTTTTTTTTTTTTTTTGCCACCCGCCTAAAGTTAAACCTTATTTGTTTGGCCCAAGTGTACCTATGAGTTTGACATCCCTGCTGTACAGTAACAAGTCAGTGTTGCAGTGCGATGAACTACTGTTCAGCTAAAGGTTGCAGGTGATGAATTAAAATGATAAGCAATATATAGTTCATAGGGGTATAACTTATTCAAAAGTCGTGGCGTTAGATCGAAGCAATGCGAAGTGTGCCACTAAGATCCAAAGAGAAGATGAATGAGATGCTGGCTTAGTGCAGTGAGTGAGAAGGCAGGGTATCTGACTGGATCCACTTGGACACAATGGTGGAACTGAGAGAACAGTACAACCTCATGCAAGTCAGGCATTGGTGGATGGGTGGGACTCTCTCAGAACCATACAATTTTGAATTTAAAAAGCCAAAAACATAGAAGTGGATAAAAAATAGATTTAAAATTTTGAAAATAGAAACACTGAAAGTAAAATTTAGAAGGTAAGCAACTATATTAAGTGCAGCACGATTTCTTTAGATCTTTTTTTATTACTTTGATCGCTGAAGTTGTAACTCAACACATAGACTGTGGTTTTTTAATTAGCTTAATTTCTTATTGATTTTTGCTATCCATACACCTACTTTGCATATGTCTAATTCATTGTGGAGTGCTCTATTCCTAATTAACCACCAATATTTAGGAATTTGCCTAAAAGTTACATTTTGCATTCGCTGCAGCCTTTTTAAGAGAGTATTAAATAAGAAACTCCAGACAGAAGGCCTACGTGAAAAATGGATGCACATGGTCTTACACAAAAGTATCTTGTTTTCTAGAGAGAGAATAGAGTTTTAGGCAATTAAGGGCTTGAGTAAAAAGATAAGCAGCAATTTCAGAAACGACTTAGGCAGCAATATCTAATAATTACTTTCTTTTTTTTTTACATTAGTAATTGAACATGGTATTACATTGTCTTATGTTGGCATTACACTTGGCGATGATTACAGACTTCACTGAATGTGCCTGTAAGTAAGACTTAACAGAAATTTCTTTCCATATGGGAAGGGGGGGATATTTTGTAATGATACCCCACATGCCAACATTTAATGCTGTTTGACTTGAGAGTAACTGATTTGTTATTCAGATAAGCCCAGGACTGCCAATAGAGCTGGTGCAGCTACACCAGGCAGGAGAATTTAAGGGAGGCAAATTTTTAAAATTTAGAGAAGAATTGAGCAACAAAATTAAGGGAAGGCACT